AGAAGAAGAAGAAGAAGCCGACGACGACGACGACGAAGAAGAAGAAGAAGAAGAAGAAGAAGAAGAAGAAGAAAAAAGAAGAGTAACACATATATACAGGGTGTGATGAACAAATTTTTGTCTAAATTACGTAACAATAAAAAACAAACATTGACATCTCATTTTTAGAGATATATTTACGAAAATTACACAAAATATCTTGCAATACTAAAGATTAATTTTATTTAATAAAATTGCCATTGGCTTCAACCACGGCCTCTAATCGACTTCGAAATCTCCTGCATCTTTTCTGAACGGTCTACCTGTTTAAGTTAGTGAATGCTACCATAATCCTTGCCTTCAGTTCATCTTGGTACAAGGAATTCCGTTGGTCTCTCGCTCAACTGTGTCCCACACATAATAATCAACAGGTATGCAGTCTGGGGAGTTAGATAACCAGAAGTAAGGGGTGATGAGGTCGCAGAAATTGTCTGACAAACAGGACTAGATTCTCCTTGCTTGTGTGGCATGTTGTCTGTTTACACACATAAAGTCTTCTAACAGCAGTGCCTTTTCAAAGTAATTGATGTAGACCTCTGTGTTGAGTCTGAGGCCCTCACCAATAAATTCCGGTGTTCTTTTCGTACCAGAACGATTAGAGTAAGTTTTCCTAGTTGCCGTATCTTCGTAATCACCATTAGACTCATCCAACTCTTTCCGAATCCCCTGCACTGTCCCTTGTTTGACACCTAACAACTCTGAAATGTTCGTATTGGAGCTTTCGCCGCATTTCCAAATTTCTGGCGGAGTGAATTACGTTTTGGTGGGTTTTTTTCTTCTCACAGACGGTGCCCAACTGACCCTACTCTACTGTGCAGTCGACAAAATGAAAAACAAACAATGCGGCTGTGCGAAATTAAAAATATAATATGACAACAATTCATCCATCGCACTCTGTTCATTTGCGAGTCTAAAATTACCTCCAGATATTTTACTCCATCGCTATCATAACAAGGTAGCTAGGCGCTGAAAGATTCTTACGTACACAGTAAGGTTTACAACTATCTAAATCGTTCGGAGAGCTGTCTTCATCTTTATTACCATATTCACGACGTTTCGATCGTTACGCTCCGACCTTCTTCATATGATATACGTTAAAATATAATTGTTGAAAATGAAACTTAAGACCATAAATTGGCAAGCTAATCTTAGATTTGAGTTGTGAGTTCAATCTTCGCCTAGTGGACCACAATTACAAAATTGTTTTGGACAAAGGTAAGCTAATTAAATTCAAACAATACGAGGGAAAGCGAAAAAATTATCCTCACTCTTGATTTTTCAATTATTTACACAAAAGCAGGAGTTAAAAATGTATGCCATTTTCGTACATAGTCTCCTTTCTTTTTGATGCACTTCGTCCAGCGATACACAAATTTGCATATTCCCTCCAAAAAGGTTTTCGGTTGGTCACGCGACCATTTATACACAGCTTCTTGCATTTCTTTATCCGTAGGAAATCGATGACATCGTAAGGGATCTTTGAACGATCCAAAGAAATGATATTTGAATAGCTCGAGATTTGAGTTGTAGGCAGGGTGTTCCAGTACCTCAACAACCAATTGTTTAATGGTTTCAACGGTCTGGCCGGCCGTATGTGGGTGTGCATTGTCATGCGACAAAAAAACTTTCTTCGACAATAGGCTTTAGATTTTGGTGCGAATTGCTGGCTTCAGATTGTTGGCCAGAAAAGTACTGTATCTTTCACTGGTGACTCTACATCCAGCATAGACCCTTTTGAGTCCTCAAAACCTTTCAGTCCGAAGATTGAGTCTTGAATTTATTCGTCGTTTCCTATGACTATTCTGTTCAAGATTCTTTGACTCTATTGTTGGTGCACACTGCTAGCGGAGCGACCATGTTTACACCGTAACAGCAGCAAGAAAATTGGCGCGATCAATCTCAAACTTCAATCACGTGACCATAATAGTAACAATTATAAAAACGCATGAGCAGAAGGCAATGTTACAAACCTAATTTATGGCTAAACTGCGGATAATTTCTTTACTTAATTAACCAAAACTAAATAATGGAATCGGTTCGAAATTCTAACGTATATTACCTGAAGATTGCCGGAGCGTACAAGAACCGAAACGTTGTGAATATGTCAATAAAGATGAGGAGAACAGTTCGAACAATTTACATAATGTAAATGCATTTGTTTCCTGTTTAGGATTGGGTTTCCGGTTCCTTTTAAAGTCTTCTCAATTTCTTTCAGTCCCAGTTGCCCCTTGTGTCTTAGTGATATTATCGCCATACCTTGGGTGAATTTATCAAAAAAAAAAAAAAAAAAAAAAAAAAAAAAAAAGAAAAAAAAGAAGAAAATAAAAAGAAAAAAAAGAAAATTGTCATTTACTGGAAATAAATGTCAAAAACATGCTGACGACGATTTCTTGTGGACGCTGCCATTTTGGTTTTGATCAACGACACTTTACCACTCCTGCTATTCTGTCTTTGCAAGAAATGGAGTACTGCTGTTATATCTAGTCTGGAGCTATCTGGTCTTCACTTTCTTGCTTTGGGAAGAGTTCAAAAGCGTCTATGCTTCCTTATCAGTGATGAATTGTTTTCCACCCTACAACCACTTTCCCCACAGATGAAACATCGCAAGCTTATTGCTACTCCATCGTTATTTCCATGGCAAAGGCTCTGACGAGCCATATTTCTTAGTTCCATCTGTTTGCATTTTTACTGCGCAGACTCACCATGCAACGTACATTGACAAAAATCATTTCCATTTCCTTCATATTTGATTGCTAAGAAAGAAGTTCCCCTTGATCAACTTCCCAAGCACAGTAGCGAATGGATGCTTCCGCGATTACTACAGTCAACGTCTAGGGTCTCTTCAGCCTTGTATTGGGTGAACAATTAATAAAAAAGTTTCAAAAAGATGTGAAAAGTACGTCCGCAGCAGCGGAACTGATAATATCGAATATACTGGGCATCTATCTTGCACATTTATAAATCTACCATTCGTTCGTTCATTGAATACTGCTATCAAATCTGGTCTGGTGCTCCTACTACTTATCTCAAAATTCTTGATAAAATTCAAAGAAGGGTCTGTCATTTAATCAATCCTGACTAGGCATCTCAACTACAGTCAATTTCCCGACCACGTGAAATGGCTTCCTTCTGTCTTTTCTACAAATATTTTCAAGAAAATTGTTCTGATGTGCTGTTCTGGCTGTCTTGCCTTCTGTATATCTTACAAGTATCAAATTCTCCAGGTCCTCTTTCTTCATTACATATCCTAGAAATTTACACAATCTTATTAAGTAAGTTACTCACTGTTTCCCTTTGCTTCTCTTGCCTTCAGTATGTCCTGTGAGTATCAACTTCTCCAAGCCCTCTTTCCTCATTATGTGTCATAGAAATTTCAATTGTCTCGTTTTGATTCTGACTCTAATGGTAATATTATAAATCTACAATTCATCCTGACTAGGCATCTCAACTACAGTCACTTTCCCAACCACATGAAATGGCTTCCTTTTGTCTTTTCTATAAATATTTTCATGGGAATTGTTCTGATGAGCTGTTTTGGCTCTCTCACCTTCAGTATGTCTTATGAGTATCAAATTCTCTAAGCCCTCTTTCCTCATTACATATCCCAGAAATTTACACAATTTTATTAAGTAAATTTCGCTTTGCTCCTCTTGCCTTCAGTATGTCTTGTGAGTATCAACTTTTCCAAACCCTATTTCCTCATTATGTGACACAGAAATTTCAATTGTCTCTTTCTGATTCTGACTCTAATGGTAATATTATAAATCTACAATCCATCCATGCATTGAATACTGCTACCAAATCTGGTCTGGTGCTCTTACTACTTATCTCGAGATTCTTGACAAAATTCAAAGAAGGGTCTGTAATTTGATCGATCCTGACTTTCATACCGACGTGAAATGGCTTTCCTCTATCTTTTCTACATATATAGGGTGTTTCATTAAGATGGATTATATATAAAGGTGTTTCATTAAGATGGATCAAAATCCGATCTAAATAAATCAGTGTTATTGATGAAAATTTATTTATTTCTCTATTGAATCATGTTATTTAAGTGATGGCAATTATGGGTGAAAAATAATATCGCCCAAATGTCTGCCAAATCTAAAAGAAAAAATATCATTAGGCGATTAAACTTAATTCACATTTAAAATCGGTTCAAATTATAGGAACACCCTTTATTTTCATGGAAACTGTTCTGATGTGATATTCACCTTAGTGCCCCGTTTGCATGAATTTAAGCGTACTACTAGATTGGCAAATAGGTCTCAGCGTTTTACTGATGAAATATCTAGATGCAACCGTATGTTCTATTCTAATAATTTCTTTTCTCACACTTCTCACCTGTGGAACTCCCTTCCGATTACTTGCTTCACTGCCACCTACAATTTTCAAAACTTTAAATGCAACGTCAATCGCCATCTGCTGTCTTTTTTAAAAATCCTGTTCTTCATTGTGCTTTCCCTCACTTCTCCGCATTAAAGTCTTCTCACTCTCTTCAAGACATTAAGTCGTAATAATTCCAGATTTTGCAATATACACCCGGAAACCGTCTTTTGGTGTGGGTGACAGTGAGACAGTCGGTGCATTCTATAGACCACCGACAGGTCAGGAATTTATATGAAAAAATATTTCGAGTGTTCTTCGTTTATGAGCTGTGTCCTTTCAGGACGTGGGCGATCATAGCTCTTCACAACTTCCTTTTCTAAACACTTCTTTGACTCGTTGCCATCCTTCAATGTCCTCGCTCTAACATCCGTTCCACAAATTCATTAAGTAGATAACTCGTTATTTGCTTCTGCTCTTCTTTCCTCATAATGTGTTCCAGAAGTGTTCAACTGTCTCTTTCTGCCTATTTAGTTCCCATGTGTTCCAGAAGCATTCAACAGTCTCTTTCTGCCAATTTAGTTCCCATGTGTTCCAGAAGCATTCAACAGTCTCCTTCTGCCTATTTAGTTCCCATGTGTTCCAGAAGTGTTCAACTGTCTCTTTCTGCCTGTTTAGTTCCCCTGTGTTCGCGAAGTGTTCAACTATCTCTTTCTGCCTATTTAGTTCCCATGTGTTCGCGAAGTGTTCAACTATCTCTTTCTGCCTATTTAGTTCCCATGTGTTCGCGAAGTGTTCAACTGTCTCTTTCTGCCTTTTTTAATTCCATGTGTTCCAGAAGTGTTCAACTGTCTCTTTCTGCCTGTTTAGTTCCCATGTGTTCATGAAGTGTTCAACTGTCTCTTTCTGCCTATTTAGTTCCCATGTATTCCAGACGTGTTCAACTGTCTCTTTCTACCTATTTAGTTCCCATGTGTTCTAGAAGTGTTCAACTGTCTCTTTCTGCCTTTTTAATTCCCATGTGTTCCAGAAGTGTTCAACTGTCTCTTTCTGCCTGTTTAGTTCCCATGTGTTCGCGAAGTGTTCAACTATCTCTTTCTGCCTATTTAGTTCCCATGTATTCCAGAAGTGTTCAACTGTCTCTTTCTACCTATTTAGTTCCCATGTGTTCCAGAAGTGTTCAACTGTCTCTTTCTCCCGTTTAATTCCCATGTGTTCCAGAAGTGTTCAACTGTCTCTTTCTGCCTGTTTAGTTCCCATGTGTTCGCGAAGTGTTAAACTGTCTCTTTCTGCCTGTTTAGTTCCCATGTGTTCCAGAAGTGTTCAACTGACTCTTTCTGCCTATTTAGTTCCCATGTGTTCCATAAGTGTTCAGCTGACTCTTTCTGCCTATTTAATTCCCATGTGTTCCAGAAGTGATCAACTGTCCCTTTCTCCCTTTTTAATTCCCATGTGTTCCAGAAGTGTTCAACTGTCTCTTTCTGCCTGTTTAGTTCCCCTGTGTTCGCGAAGTGTTCAACTATCTCTTTCTGCCTATTTAGTTCCCATGTATTCCAGAAGTGTTCAACTGTCTCTTTCTACCTATTTAGTTCCCATGTGTTCCAGAAGTGTTCAACTGTCTCTTTCTGCCTTTTTAATTCCCATGTGTTCCAGAAGTGTTCAACTGTCTCTTTCTGCCTGTTTAGTTCCCATGTGTTCGCGAAGTGTTCAACTGTCTCTTTCTGCTTATTTAGTTCCCATGTATTCCAGACGTGTTCAACTGTCTCTTTCTACCTATTTAGTTCCCATGTGTTCCAGAAGTGTTCAACTGTCTCTTTCTGCCTTTTTAATTCCCATGTGTTCCAGAAGTGTTCAACTGTCTCTTTCTGCCTGTTTAGTTCCCATGTGTTCGCGAAGTGTTCAACTATCTCTTTCTGCCTATTTAGTTCCCATGTATTCCAGAAGTGTTCAACTGTCTCTTTCTACCTATTTAGTTCCCATGTGTTCCAGAAGTGTTCAACTGTCTCTTTCTCCCTTTTTAATTCCCATGTGTTCCAGAAGTGTTCAACTGTCCCTTTCTGCCTGTTTAGTTCCCATGTGTTCGCGAAGTGTTCAACTGTCTCTTTCTGCCTATTTAGTTCCCATGTGTTCCAGAAGTGTTCAACTGACTCTTTCTGCCTATTTAGTTCCCATGTGTTCCAGTAGTGTTCAATAGTCCCTTTCTGCCTATTTAGTTCCCATCTTTAGAGCTTCCTCGTTGCTGTCGCCAAACAAGAAAGTAACCTTCTATGCCTGCTTACACTGATATCGAAATTCGGTGTACGTCCCTTACTGTGTCGCACGAAAAATTGGGCCGGCTACTGGCATCACGGCGCATATATTTCTAATCCTCAGTCCTTTGTACTCATACAAAGCACCCAGTAAATCTGTGCATCCTTTCAAAACTATAAGGTCACACATTGCTACTATTAATACTAGCATATAATATACGTAAAATTGTATAACAAAATTATACACCAAACAGCTCAATATAAGACTAGAGCGATAATTATTATTAAAATAAAAGTCAAAACGTTCAATACTTATCGAAGGTCAACTCAGAGTTTCGTCATTTTTAATCACTTATCGGGACTCTCGGCCACTATGATTGCATTGATCACGGTAATGGATGATTAAGAAATTATAAAACTCTGCGTTTATCTTAGATAAGTATAGAATGTTTTAGTTCAATTTTAATAATAATAATAATAATAATGTGTACGTGTACGTTCGTGTGCGTGCGTGGTCTTCGAGGTATGAAAGTTTAACATTACACCTGGAACTGAACAGTATACTTGTACATCTGATTTGATTTTAGCAGTAAAGACTTGAGCAGAACCATTCTCAGTTTTCAAAAGAATCGAATACAGAGAACTGGTGCACATGGTATGTCATGAGGTCACCATACAGCCCAACTCGGGTTTTGTCCTTCTCCTAGTCTATCCTACCTATAGCTAGCGGGACGAAGAGATCGATTCATATCTTTTCTAAGGTTATTATGATTATTTTTGCATAAATATATGTCTGCTGAAGTTCGGGGTCAATGGAATATTATTACCGTTTTGAATTCAGAGTTGTCCTTTTTTCTAGACTGGTTGCCATCTCAAATCTCACCAA